GAGAGGGGAAATGGCGGGGAAAAGCGCTCAATGGGGAGAGGTGGGGTTGGGAGGGGCGGACAAAGCAGCAAAATGGGCAAGTGTGGGCGGAGCCGGGCGGGGAAGGGCTGAGCAGAGCTGAAAGTAGGTAGAGCAATACAGACTCAGCGAATGCTTAAATATGTAAATACAAGTCGGTGAATACAGGTTGAAAGAAGGCCAGCGTCCTGCACATAAATTGAGATAACAGTGGAAGCGCTAGGTGTAGATCTTTGAAGCATTTTACGTCTATTTTGTAAAATTATTACTCACATTTGCGAAATTATCGATTACAATGAGTCAGAATCACCGCAACCTTACCAATTTTATGAATTCATTGTAACGTTTTAGGATGACCGCTTATAAAGCATGATTTGGTAGCGTAGGGAAATAAATCTTACCTCGTGAACATCAAGGGAAAGAGTTTTAATCCCAAACTAAGCAAATATTTGTTTTTATTTTTATGACATTACAACACAATACACAATACACGGAGTTCTGCGGGAGAAGGTCATTTTTAATAATACCTTTCATTTTGCGAAGAATTAAGGATTCTTTTGGAACCATATGCGCTTCGTTTGATTATGATGACTTTTTCATATAATTGATGCACTCTTAATTGGATAGCACTTACAATAGCGTTATATTACGAAACCGTCATTAATAAATAGGAAAAGTATATGTTTTCAAGTCAGTACTTTCCTTGTAGATATACCGTTTTTTTTAGGTTTTCTTGACAAGAAAATGTATAAAAACAATGCCCATCGATCATTAGACATAAGTCTATAACATAGAGTCTATGAGTTTTCAAACCTTTATTAGAATAATTATGTCAGATGATACATCGATCATCTACAGAACTTCAAAAATGTTGAGTAAGAGCAACTTGTTATGAAGATAGTATGAGGAGAAGCCAATAAACTCCATTAATAATCAGAAGTAAGGAATAAAAGTCAAAAGTACGATTTAAATTTCCGAGAAAATCATTGTGGCAGAACAATATCAACAACTTATATCTGTCACAGGAAAAAAAAACTTGAACAAACAGACACAATTTCGCCTCACGCATATTGAAAGGAAAGATAAAGACTGAGATTGCATTGAACAGAACCGGAATACTCTCGGTTTGCGTCTCGGTGCACAGCCAAGAAAGCAGATCGGATTTCACGGGGAGGTGGCGAAGGAAGCGAGACGGGAGGCCAAAGGGCAGGT